AGAATAATGACCAAAATTAACTAATGAAGCAGAAAACCTGAATAGACCATTAACTATCAAATGAAGTTATAATGTATGTCCTCCAATTTTGTCTCCTGGGATAGATACTGTTGAGTTCTATTACATTTTAATGAACTGATAATGCCCGAAGAAACTATTTCAACCATATGAAATGAAATAATTTATTTTATGATGTTAATATGTCACTGATAGTGAAGTCTCCAAAAATTAGATAAGAAAACTATCATTCAAATGTCCTGTGAATGTAAATGTGCAAAACCTGAAATACTAGCATACTATCCAGTTAAATAATTATATTAGGCACTTTGAGATGAGGCTTTTAGGACATTTAAAGAATGTATTAATGCAATAAATGTTAATATCATTAAATAAATCACTGAAAAAATAAAGTGATAGGTGCTAATAGTATTTAAGTTTTAAAGCATGTTGTAGAATTTTCATAAAATGGTACTATTTTGTGTGTTTATTATGGTCTATCAAATAAAATAAACAATAATTATTTCCATCAAAATCATGGTCATGTTAGAATACCATTTATATGACGCATGTTCTTTATGATTCTTGTGAACATGTACGACATTAAGTAAAATAAAGGAATGCCAAATTATATTTATTTTCTAATGATATGATTTTTATAATATAATAAGATGTTTACTTTTAAAAAAGGTAGACATTCTGATACTGGGTTGTGTAATTTCTTCCCAAAAATCTTGTCTACCTGGAACCTGTAACTACAATGTTATTTGGAAATACGATTTGCAGATATGATGAATTAAAGTGAAGCCATACTTCATTAAATATGGTCCCTAACTTAGTGACTACTTATAAAAGGGAAATATGGACATAAACACCCACAGAGGGAAGATGATGTGAAGACACACAGAGAACACCATGGGATTGGAGTGATGTAACCATGGCCAAGGAGTGCTCAGATTGTTGGTAATCACCAGAAGCTGAAAAGAATCAGGAAAGGATTCTTCCCCTACAGCCATCAGGGAGAAATGGGCACTGTGACACCTTAATTTCAGACTTCTAAATAAATTAAAATAATATAATGATTATTGATAACTTGCTTTAGGTATCATTTCCCAATTCAAACTCTTTTGTAGAATATAAACTGCCCAAATTCCCTACCAAGACCTGAGAAGCAAAGATGAGAAGAGATCAATAAATTACTTTCATTAAATAGGTATCTGGAGGAGGAAATATCTACAATGCTGTAAGGGCAGGATGGGCACTGAGCAGGTTTCCTAGGATCTGAGCAGACTTGGGTAAAGGAGAGTCCTGGAGCCCTCGATGAGTTTCTCAGGCTTTTATTGAGCTTTACATGTAGTATGGCAAACAGGTACATAGCAGGCAGGGGTGCCAGGGCGCCAGGAGGACATTAGGCCTCCAAGCCCCCAGCAAGTCTTCATTCTGGGATTCTCTGGCATTCTTTCTCTCCTTCTCGCTCTTGCCTCTCTCCTGCTTCTGCTTCTCTTGGTGACTATCTCTCAATACTCCTCCCATGGCCCACAGAAGTAAAGAAGGAAATCCTAATGGTGGGAGGGCAGGGAAATCCTAATGGTGGGAGGGCAGAAAAGCCTGAAAAACCATTTACCCTACAAATGCTAAAATATTTTCTCATTGATTTTGTGACTTGAATCACATATGTAAAAAATAAACTTACACAGCTGTGGAAATAACTGTGTGTATGTAACAAACCTAAATAGTCTGTTTTAATGTCGCTGTTAAGGTAGTATTTTAGATTTTGATGTTATATGATGTGGTGAGATCACTATAATTTTGGAATGCAAGCCTTAGTGTCAATTAATTTCCTCTTTCTTTCTGCTATCAATTGGGAAATATTTTCCAGGTACATCCAGTGAACGCTGTGATTTTGAGTTTGACCTTTGTTCCTGGGAGCAGGCACAGGACGATGACTTTGACTGGACTCTGAAACCTAGTAGCCTTCCAGCTATAGGCACAGAGCCAGCTGCTGACCATACCTTGCGAGATTCTTCTGGTCATTACATCTTCATCAAGAGCTTGTTCCCTCAGCAGCCCATGAGAACAGCCAGAATTTCAACCCCAGTTATAAGTAGAAGAAGCAAAAATTGCAAGGTATGGAGAGAATGCAGCTATACTGTGAGTGATTGCTGATAGATAAGAGTCAAATACTAAAAATGGAATGGCCAGGATCAGAGCAGAAGTGTGTTTGAATTTATTCAATTTCGTATATATAAGGGATGGGGCTAGGGAGAGGGTGCAGTAAGGATGGCAGTGAAGGAGCTATGCTATAGATAAATTCCATAGATGCTGGAATTTTGTGATCCACTGCAAATTTTCATTCATAGCCATGAATATTACAGTGGAATAAAAATATAGTATCAGTTACTTTCACTTAAATTTCATACTTATTAAAATTATGGGAATTTCACCATCAGAAAAAAAATTAAACAAGTAGCACATAAATGTTTCCAGAAATTAATATTAGAGATAGTTGGAACCATGATAAAATAATTTAAGATTCTTTAGGGTAAAGGAAAGACTGAACTTTATCCTAAAATATTCATGGACTTCTATGGGCAGGAAGGAAAAATGATTTGACCATTAGTCCATGGTCTAATGGGCTGAAGAAAATGTTTGTATATTATTAAAAATAAAAGAACATTGTGAGATGCTCAGAGAACAGACTTATAGCAGCCTCAGAGAATCATTATGCATTTGCAGGAGCTTCTACTCTTCCCATTTATAGATCACTGGATTATTTGTTTCTATTCCCTATAAGATTTGAGACAGGTAGGCAGGGAAATGGATTCAGCTTTACATGTAATATAAATTAAGTTCTCCGAGATGACTGCGTAAGAATCTAGCTGATTGATTCACTGATTGGTTAACTGATTGATTAATATATAAATGAATGCATCTTTATATGAATATATGTGGGTATGTATATATATATAATATGAGTGTATGTGTATATATGTATATATATATATATATATATATATATAATGAGTAATGGGCTCACATATTCTGGCAGGTATGTATCCCAATGTCTGAACACCAAAAGCAGAGCAAATTGTATTCAGGAAGTTGCTTGCTTACCAAAGATTCATACTGGGGGACAGTATCATGGTTAAAATCTTTATTAATTTCAAATTAGAACATTTTTGTATACCTACCACCATGATAGATAGAGCACAAAACCTGGAAAAGGGGCTTTACATTTTTGCTCAAAAATCTTCCCTATTGTACATGCACTGATTATAGATACTTGTTCCTCTGTTTCATACTGACAATCTTCAAAGTAATCTATCACTGTCACAATGTTCATGCGTGTTACAACTTCAGTTTGTTGTCAGTGTTTTCTGTCTCATCTTGTTTCATATTTTAAGTATCAGGGATTGATCTCTCTCATCAGGCACATATGATAGACAGCATTTCCTGTAAGTGTGTCATGATCAAATGAGAGTTTTGGAGAGATAACTCTAAAGCCTAAACTCTAGCAGTGTAGAATGGATATAACAAATCATGCAGAATAATATTAAACTTTAATTACTGTGGCAAGAAATTGAGTTCTAATCAAATATATTTCTGTTTTCACTATCTTCCAAATCACTTGATACTTTCTCAAAGATAAATCCCATCAATACTAGATTTTGTATATGTGGTGTCTATATCTATAAATCTATCTCTTTACATTCACAGATATTCTGAAAGATGCAGCTTAATTCTAGACATTAAAAGCTAATTAAAAATTAATCACTAAATATATAAATTTCCAGTTTGAATTCTAAGCTTTACTATTTAGATACTTCTGAAAATGTTCAGAAGACTTTTCCCCCAAACTAGCAACTAAGGATTTCATCCATCTATATTTTCTTGGTCCCAGAACTGCAGTCCCCATTGTTTAAACAACTGTGTGAGAATAATGAAGTATGCCTAGAAGAAATGTCAAAAAATTAATGATGAATGGTTCATTTTATGAATATTTATGATATAGATTGAATACAAAGAAGTAAGGAAAGGTCATGCTTGGAATGATTGGGTCTCTCATAGAGAAAATATTTATCAGGTCAGTGGACTGGCCCCCAACTTTTCATGAAAATCCTGTCACTTGACCTGTGTGATACTTTCAAGCAGAAAAAAGTCCACTTGGAGATTTTTCTGCCTTTTAAGGGATTGATGGTGGGAGGGATACAGAGACTGATGAAGGAGGAGACCAAACCTCTGTGTAATTTGTAATTGCCAGTGCAAATAATTATTCAGAAGAATTCAGAACCTTGCAGAATTACTCACTTGCATTGCCCTGTGCTTGCATTGCTACTGTTACATAAAATATATGCCTCTTGTTTGTTGCACAAGTAAGACAACACAAGGCGGAACACTGCTCAGACCATACTTATGACTGTAAGAGATCAAACATGGAAACTACATCACTGGACCATTTCTTTGGGTGCTTGTTGATTTGAGACCTCAAGTTGGCCCCAGGTCCATTTTGTTTGTCTCTCTAATGAATCATGCCAGGTTTTACCAGTCCTCCCTAGACAGATTGCAATGGTTCTAAACCCTTTGTTGGAAAGGTGAGTCAATAGAAAAAAACATTTTGGGTTATTGAATATTATCTGAAGAGTTCACAGGTAGAAGGTTTTGGTAGAGTCACTTCCTATTCTTAGTTGATGCTTTTTGAGAGAAGCATTGCATATATTGTTTAATCACATTATTTACCCTTTAAATATGTTCATTTTTCTTTCTCTAGAGTACAATATTTATTATTACTAGTGTTTGAAAAATATTTTTCCTGAGTGAAGACCACTCACAATTACTGTTTTTCCTCATTCATGCAGATGAGAAGACAAAAGCTTAAGTGTTTTTGCAATGTATAGTTGAACCTGAGGGTTTTGTGGAGCTGAAAATGTGTTTTTATTAAAAAAGATTTATTTATTTATGCATACAAGAACTGGAGTACAGGCCAGAGGCGTGGAGGGTGAAAGGATCCACCAGAGACAGAGTGGGGAACAGAACAGGCAGATTGACTGAAATACACTGATGAGGGAGCAACGGGCGAGTCAGGAGAGGTCTGCTGCACAATGTGGGTAGCTCTCTGGCTGGGGATCGAACTCATGCTGCAGTGGCTGGGGATTGCTTCATAGGTTGCATCTTAACCCTTGTGCCACCACGGAGGCCCCTCAAATGTGTTTTGAGTATAAGAATATAGTGGAATAAGCAATAGTACTCCGAAGAAAATGATTAGTCTTATGAGATTGAACATTATCTTCTTTAGTCCCTGGCATTTTGTAATTGTGAAAAGTCTTTTTATGTAATGCCTGATTTTAAATAATATTTTATACTTTTGACAGTGAACTTTAAGAGCTTATTGAGAATTTCTGCCTTTAGAAATCATAGGAAGAAAAATTCTGTTCATTTTTTCAACTAAATTTCTTTTGATTCTTAAATATACTATCTTCCATATATCACAAAATATGATTTAAGGCTTTTCTAACTAACTTCACTCAGTGTTAGAGTACTCACAGAGCAATAAAATACATATATTTAATAGTTTTCCTATGTTAAGAAAGTGGAAGGCAGTGTGATATAATTGGAAATACAATGCAATTAATTTTACTAATTACATAAAATATTCCCATTCTTGGTTACAGATAAATTTTTATTATCACATGTATGGAAATGGCATTGGGTCACTCGCCTTGATCCAGGTATCAGTCTCAAATCAAAAGAAGGTTCTACTAAATCTTACTGCAGAACAAGGCAATTTCTGGCAGCGAAAAGAACTCTCACTGTCTAGTGATGAGGACTTCCACCTTGAATTTGAAGGTAGAGCTGGGAAAGGCCACCGTGGTGACATTGCACTGGATGACATTGTGCTTACCAAGAGTTGTCTGTCATCCCATCACTCCATGAGAGAAAAGTGTTCCTTCTAACAGGTACATTTTAATTTGTTTGTTCTTTTTACAGAGTGAAAGGTTGGAAGGAGGGATAGATAAAAAGTGACATAAGTACCGAGTAATTCATTGCTTTCATGAGGAAAAAAAAAACTTTTTGAATCTAAAAAAAAAAAATAATAAGTTTTGAGCCTTTCCTCATAAAATTGCCTTCCAAAAGTTTTCTACAAGCTTTAGTCTATTTACCAGTGCCTGAGTTCTCTGTTTAGTCAGCTTTTTTTTTTTTTTTTTAAGATTTATTTATTTAAGCATACGAGAGCTCAGGTACAGGCCAGAGATGGGGGGGGTGAGAGGATTCACCAGAGACAGAGTGGGGAACAGAACAGGCAGATCGACTGAAATACACTGCTGAGGGGAGCAGTGGGCGAGATAGGAGAGGTCTGCTTCGCCATGTGGGTTGCTTCCTGGCAGGCCAAGGATCAAACTCGTGCTGCAGAAGCTGCCGGATTGCTTCATAGCGTGGTGCTTAACCCCTTGCACCAACAGGGAGGCCCCAAGTCAGCTTTTCTGAGATGAATAAAAGAGGACTATTGTTTTCAAAATGTAATCCTTAACCAATATCATTTCATCCTAATGAAATGTAAGAATGCTAAGAACAGTTATTTTATCATAATTAGACATTACTGTGGTTGTGTTATTTTATTCTCTTTATTTTTTTTTTTAATAAATTTTATTGTTATATTCCCCATACAATTGCAGCCCCCCCATTCTGACCCCAATCCCTCCCCTCCCACCCCCGCCCCCCTAAAAGTGTCTCTGGTTCATAGTTTTTTGTTGATTTTGATTTTCACTTTCTTATAGTTATTCATTTTCCTGGTCCCTTATTTAAGTTTTCTAGATTCCTGCTATGAGTGAGACCATCCGGTATTTTTCTTTTTCTTTTTGGCTTATTTCGCTGAGCATGATCCCTTCCAGCGCCATCCATGTTGCTGCAAATTGCATGTGTTTATCTTTTTTGAATGCTGAGTAATATTCCATGGTATATATGTACCACATCTTCTTGATCCAGTCATCTATTTTTGGGCATTTGGGTTGTTTCCAAAGCTTAGCTATTGTAAACAGTGTTGCTATAAACATAGGGGTGCAGGTGTTCTTTGGATTGATGTTTCTGTGTCCTTTGGGTAAATACCTAGGAGTGAATTGCTGGATCATATGGAAGCTCTATGTTAGTAGTCCAGAAATCTCCATACAGCTTTCCACAGTGGTTGGACCAGTTTGCACTCCCACCAACAGTGCAGAAGAGTTCCTTTTTCTCCACACCCTCGCCAACATTTGTTGTTGCTAGTTTTTTTAATATGTGCCATTCTCACTGGTGTAAGATGGTATCTCATGGTAGTTTTGATTTGCATTTCCCTGATGACAAGTGATGTTGAACATTTTTTCATATGCCTGTTGGCCATTTGCATTTCCTCTTCAGAGAAGTTTCTTTTAAGCTCTTCTGCCCATTTTTTGACTGATTATTTTCTTTGTTGTTGTTGAGTCTCATCAGCTCTTTGCATATTTTTGTGATCAGTCCTTTATCATTAGTGTTGGGTGCAAAAATGTTCTCCCAGTTGGTGGGGTTTCTCTTTGTTTTTGTTATTGTCTCTTTTGCTGTGCAAAAGCTCTTTAATTTGATGTAGTCCCAGCTGTTTATCTTTGCCTTCACTATCACTGCTTTGGGTGATGTGTCTGTAAAGATGTCTTGATGTGCAAATCACGTAGTTTCGCCTATATTTCCTTCTATATATTTTATGGTTTCAGGTCTTATGTCTAGTTCTTTAATCCATTTTGAGTTGATTTTGTGTATGGTGTGAGGTGGTGGTCAAGCTTCATTCTTTTGCATGTAGCGACCCAGTTTTTCCCAGCACCATTTATTGAACAAACTTTCTTGCTCCAATGCCATATATATCTTTGCTCCTTTGTCAAAGATTAGTTGACCATAAATCTGTGGGTTTATTTCTGGATTTCTATTCGATTCCATTGGTCTGTATGTCTGTTCTTGTTTCTAATACATGCAGTTTTGATGATATGGCTTTGTAGTATAGTTTGAAGTCTGGAGTCTGAGCCTCCATTCCCTTTTTTTTTTCAGGAGAGCTTTGGCTATTCGGGGTTTTTGGTGATTCCATATGAATTTCATCAATAATTGTTCTATTTCTTTGAAGAATGACATTGAAATTTTGATTGGAATAGCATTGAATCTGTATATTGCTTTTGGTAGGATGGCCATTTTAATAATGTTTATTCTTCCAATCCATGAGCAGGGGATGTCTCTCCATTTCTTTGTGTCTCTTCTATTTCTGTTAACAGTGTTTTATAGTTTTCTTTGTATAGGTCCTTTACCTCTTTTGTTAGATTTATTCCCAAATATTTGATTTTTTTTGTTTCAATAACAAAAGGGATGGTCTTTTTGATTTCTTCTCTTCAGATTTATTGTTTGTGTATAGGAAGGCTACTGACTTTTGCGTGTTGATTTTGTATCCTGCCACTTTACTGAACTGATTGATGAGTTGAATTAGCTTTTTCTGTGGAGTTTTTGGGGTTCTCTATGTATAATATCATATCGTCTGCAAATAGTGATAGTTTGACTTCTTCTTTTCCTATTTGGATTCCTTGGATGTCTTTCTCTTGTCTTATTGCCCTGGCTAGGACTTCCAGTATTATATTGAAAAGCAATGGTGAGAGTGGACATCCTTGTCTTGTTCCAGATCTTAATGGAATTGCTTTCAGCTTTTCATCATTGAGAATGATACTGGCTGTTGGCTTGTCATAGATGGCCTTTATGATGTTGAGGTATGTTCCTTGTATCCCCAGAATTTCAAGGGCTTTTATCATGAATGGGTGTTGCACTTTGTCGAAAGCTTTCTCAGCATCTATTGATATTATCATATGGTTTTTATATTTCTTTTTGTTGATGTGTTGGATAACGTTGATTGATTTTCGGATGTTAAACCATCCTTGTGCCCCTGGAATGAATCCTACTTGGTCGTGGTGAATTATCTTATGGATACATTGTTGGATTCTGATAGCTAAAATTTTATTGAGGATTTTTGCATCAGTGTTCATTAGGGAGATTGGCTGTAGTTTTCCTTTTTGTGTTGTCCTTGTTCGGTTTGGTATTAGTGTAATGTTGGCTTCATAAAACGTGTTTGGTATTGTCCCTTCCTTCTCAATTTTTTGAAGAGTTTGTGAAGGATAGGCACTAATTCGTCTCTGAATGTTTGGTAGAATTCATTTGTAAATCCATCAGGTCCTGGGCTTTTGTTTTTGGGGAGGTTTTTGATTACCATTTCAATTTCGCTAATTGTAATTGGTCTGTTTAGGTGTTCTATTTCTTCTTTATCTAGCTTTGGGTGATTGTAGAGTTGTAGGAATTTGTCCATCTCCTCTAGATTGTTAACTTGTTTCATATAACTGTTCATAGTAGTTACTGATTATTCTTTTGATTTCTGCTGTGTGTCGTTGTGATTTCTCCTCTTTCATTGATGATCCTGTTTATTTGTGCTTTCTCCCTTTTTTCCTTTGTGAGCCTGGCTAGGGTTTGTCTATTTTATTGATTTTTTCAAAAACCAGCTCTTGGTTTCATTGATCTTTTGGATTGTTTTTTTAGTTTCAATTTCATTTATTTCTGCTTTGGTTTTTCTATTTCTTTTCTTCTTCTACTGGTTTTGGGGTTTTTTTTGTTGTTCTTTCTAGATCTTTGTTTGGCTTCCTCTAGATGAGGTTGTTTCTTTGCGTTCTTTCTTGTTTCTTGATGTGAGCTTCTATTGCTATATATTTTCCTCTATTACTGCTTTTGCTGCATCCCATACATTTAGGATATTAGTGTCCTCCTTGTCGTTCAATTCAAAAATTTTTTAATTTCTTCTTTGATCTCCTCATTAGTCCAATGGTCTTCCAGTAGTGTGGTTTTTAATCTCCATGAGGTAGGAAAGTTCCTTGCTTCTTTTTATGGTTTATTTCTAGTTTGATGGCTTCATGGTCAGAAAAGATGGTTGATATGATTTCAATCTTGGTGTATCTGTTGATGTTTGTCTTGTGCCCCAGTATGTGATCGATCCTGGAGAAGATCCGTGTGCGTTTGAGAAAAATGTGTACTCCGTTTTTTTGGGGTTTAGTGTTCTATAGATGTCTGTTAAGCCTAATTGCTCTAGGTCCTTATTTAGAGCTTTGGTTTCTTTACTTATTTTTTGTCTTGTTGATCTATCCATTGTTGATAGTGGTGTGTTGAAGTCTCCCACTACGTATGTGTTTTCTCTGATGTCTGTTTTCAGAGAGGACAACAGTTGTCTGATATATTTTGGTGCTCCTTCGTTTGGTGAGTATACTGTTAATGAGTGTTATTTCTTCTTGAAGTATTGCCCTTGATCATAATGTAGTGACCATTGGGGGTCTCTTTTTATCTTTTTGAGTTTGAAATCTGTTTTATCTGATATAAGTATAGCTGTTCCTGCTTTCTTTTTTGGTCCATTTGCTTGTAGGATTGTTTTCCATCCTTTAACTTTGAGCCTATTTTTATCTTTTGTAGCTAAAATGTGTTTCCTGGAGACAGCAAAAGGTTGGGGTTTTGTTTTCTTAATCCAGGCTGCCACTCTGTGTCTTTTTATTGAACAGGTTTAGTCCTTTACATTTAGAGTTATATTGATATGTTAACATCTGTATTTGCCATTGTGTTGTCTTTCCT